AAATCTCTAATCAAAAGAGAAATTGTGGGATAAAAAAAAGATCCAACTATATGCTGTCTTTAAGAGACTCATTTTATATCCAAAGACACAAATATGCTGAAAGTGACAGAATGAAAAAAAATTCAACATAAATAATAACCAAGAGAGAGCTACCATGGCTACATTAATATCAGACAAAAAAGACTTTAAATAAAATAATGTTCCTAGAGACAAAGGACATTATATGATAATTATAAGGTACATTACAGCAAGAAGATATAACAATTATAAACATTTATGTACCTAATAACAAACCCTCAAAATATATGCAGTAAAAATGAACAGAATTGAAGGGAGAAATAGACAGTGCTACCGTAATATTTTGGTATGTCAATACTGAATAGAACCAGACAAAAGGGCAATAAGAAAATAGATGATCTGAACAGCACTATAAATCAATTAGACCTAAGAGACATATATAGAATATTCCACCCAACAACAGCACAATACATACTATTCTCAAGCATGCATGAAACATTCTCTACATAGGCCACAAAACAAGTCCCAATAGATTTTAAAAAACAGATATCATATAAAGTGTCATCTCCAACCACAATGTGATGAAGCTAGAAATCAATAACAAGGCAAACTGGAAAATTAAACAACACACTTGTAAACAACATTGACTCAAATAAATAAATAAATAAATATCACAAGGGAAATTAGAAAATCTTTGGACACAAATGAAAATGAAAACACAATTTTTTTATGAGATGCAGTGAAAGCTATGCTAGGAGGGAAATTTGTAACTGTAAATGCCTACATTAAAAAAGAAAGATTTCAAATCAGTAATGTAACTTTACAGCATAGGGAACTAGAAAAGAGCAAACTAAACCTAAAGCTAGAAGAGGAAGAAAGTAATAAAGATTAGAGAGGAGATAATCAAAACAGGGATAGAAAGAAATAAAGAAAATAAATTAAACCAAAAGTTGTTTTTTGAAAGGATCACCAAAATTGAGAAACCATTAGCTAGATTGACAACAACAAAAAAAAGAGGAGAGAGGATGCAAACAACTAAATATTAGAAATGGAAGTGGGACCTCACATAGATAAAAGATTCTAAGATAATAACAACAAATTAAATAACCTAGAAGAAATGGACAAATTCCTTAAAACACACAAACTACCTAAACTGATTCAAGAAGAAATAGAAATCTCGGCAGGCATATAACAGGTCAAGAGATTGAAACAATAACCTAAAACCTTCTGGCAAAGAAATGTCCTGGACCAGGTGGCTCTGGTCCTGGACCAGCATTACTCTGATATCAACGCCAGATAAAGACATCACAAGAAAATCACAGACCACTATCCTTTATGAATATAGATGCTATCTAAAATCCTCAACAAAATACTAGCAAATTAAATTCAATGGCATATTAAAAGGTTTATTCATCATGATCACATGGAATTTATCCTAGGAATGCAAGTGTGGTTCAACATAAGAAAATCAATCAATATACTTGCAATACATCATATTATTAAAACAAAGGATAAAAACCCCATGATCATCTCAATTGATACAGAACAGATTTGACAAATTTAATACCCTTTCATTATAAAATGTCTCATAAAACTAGGAATGGAGGGGAAATTCCTCAATATGGTAAAGGGTGTTTATGAAAAACCTACAGCTATCATCATGTTCAATGGTCCAAAACTCAAAGTGTTCCCCTATGATCAAGAAAAACACAAGGATGCTGTTTTCACTGCAGCTATTAACATAGTACTGGGAATTCTAATCAGAGCAGTAAGACAAGAAAAATATATAAAAGGCACTCAAATTGGAAAGGAAGAAGTAAAACTATCTCTATTCACAGATGACATGATTCCATTTATAGAAACTCCCAAGAATTCTACAGAAAGCTATCAGAGCTAATAAAGCAATTCAGCAGAGTTTCAAGGTACAAGAGCAACATACAAAATCAGCTGTGTTTCTATACACCAGCAAATGAATAATCTGAAAAGTAAATTAGGAAAGCAAATCAATTTACAATAGTAGCTAAAAGAATTAAATACTTAGGAATAAATCTAACCAAAGAGATGAAAGATATGTATGCTTAAGACTACAAAACATTGCTGATAGAAAATAAAAGCCTAAGTCCATGAAAAGACATCCCATGTTCATGGATTGAAAGACTTAATATTGTTGAGATGTCAATATTACCCAAAGTGATCTACAGATTCAATGCAATCCCTATCAAAATCCGAAGGCATTTTTTGCAGAGATAGAGAAAAAAATCTTAGCATTCATATGGAATTGCAATGGCTATTCAGGAATAGCCAAAACAACCTTGAAAACTACAAACAAAGTAGAGGACTCACACTTCTTGACTTGGAAACTTAGTACAAAGATAGAGTAATTAAAACTATATGGTAGGGGGCCGGCTGAGTGGCTCAGTTTGTTAGACTGCGAGCTCTAAACAATAGAGTTGCCGGTTCGATTCCCACATGGGTCACAGTGAGCTGCTCCTCCCGCAACTAGATTGAAGATGACTTGACCTGAGCCGCCGATGGGCGGCCAGATGGCTCAGCTGGTTAAGAGTGCATGCTCTTAACAACAAGGTTGCCGGTTTGATTCCTGCATGGGATGGTGGGCTGCACGCCCCCACAACTAGAGTGAAAATGGCCTCTGGACTTGGAGCTGAGCTGAGCCCTCCACAACCAGACTGAAGGACAATGACTTGACTTGGAGCTGATGGGTTCTGGAAAAAATACACTGTTGCCCAATTAAAAAAAAAAACCAGGGCCGGCTGAGTGGCGCGATGGTTAAGAACTGGCTTGGGACGCCAGAGGGCCCCGGTTCGGATCCCATATATGAGGGCCAGTGACACTGCCCTCCACAGCTAAGATGCTGAACAACAGCTCAACCTGGAGCTGGGCTGCCATGAGTCGCCGGCGACGGCATAGGCTGCAGCCCCTGTGGCAGTGGGTTGCCATGGGCTACCGTATGTAGCCAGCAGCCAGCGTGAGCGGCCAGCAGCCAGCATGAGCGGCCAGCAGCCACAGTGAGAGGCCGTCCAGAAGCCGGCAACTGATCTGCTTCGCCCGGGAAGAGCGCAATGACGGTGCCAACTTGGGCCAGTGAAACAACGTCCTCCACAACTAGACTGAAGAACAAAACGACAGCAACTTGTCTGTTCCCCTTCCCCCAATTCCCCAGCACTGTTCCCATCCCCCCAATTCCCCAATTAAAAAAAACCAAAAAACAAATACACACACACTCACAACAAAACTATATGGTAGGACAGACATATAAACCAATGGAACAGAATAGAGAGCCCAGAAATATACCCACAAATATACAATAAATTGACTTTTGACAAGTGTGCCAAGACCATTCAAGGGGGAAAGGACAATCTTTTCAACAACTGGTGCTGGGAAAGCTGGATATCCACATGCAAAAGAATGAAGTTGGACCCCTACCTAACACCATATATGAAAATTAAATGTATCAAAAGCTTAAATGTAAGAGTTAAAACTATAGAACTCTTAGAATAAAACATTGGAGAAAATCTCCATAACACTGGATTTGGTAACAACCTCATGGATATGACACCAAAAGCGCAGGCAACAAAAGAAAAACCAGATAAACTGGGCTTTGTCAAATTAAAAACTTATGTGTATGTGCATTAAAGACACTATCAAGAAAGTGAAAAGACAATCTACTTGAATAGGAGAAAATATTTCCAAATCATATATCTAATAAGGGATTAATATCCAGAACATATTGAGAACTCCTAAACTAAAAAACAACAATAAACAACCTGATTAACAAATGGGCACAGGACTTGAATAGACATTCTCCAAAGTAGGTATATGAATAGTCAATAAGCACATAATATGATTAACATCACTTGCAATTAGGGAAATGCAAATTAAAACCACAATGAGATACTACATCATACCTCGCAGGATGAGTTAATTAAAAAACAACAGCAAAAAAAACAAATAGAAAATAACAAGCGTTGGCAAGGATGTGGAGAAACTGGAACACTTGTGCACTGATGGTGGGAATATAAAACGGTGCAGCTGCTGTGGAAAACAGTTTGGCAGTTCCTCGAAAGATTCAGCATGAAACTACCATATGACTCAGCAATTCCACTCCTAGGTGTGTAAAATAACAAAAATTGGAAGCAGGGACTCAGATACACATACACCAATGTCTACAGCAGCAGTATTTACAATAGCCAAAAGGTGGAAACAACCATGGTGTCCATCAGCAAATGGATAAATGAAATGGGGCATATACATACAATAAGATATTCTTCCATAAAAAGGAATAAAATTTTGATACAGGCTACAATATGGATGAACCCTGAAGACATTATACTTAGTGAAGTAGCCAGACACAGAAGGACAAATACTATATTTTCCTAGTTATATGAGGTACCTAGAATAGGCAGATTCATAGAAAGTAGACTAGAGGTTTCCAGAGACTGGAGAGCGGGGATAAGTATGAATTAGTATTTAATGGGCACAAAATTTTTGTTGGGGATGACAAAGTTTTGGGTACAGATAGTGGTGATAATTACACACATTGAGAGTATATTTAACGCCATGAGCTGTACACTTATAAATGGTTAAAATGATAAATATTGTGTTATGTCTATTTTTCCACAATTAAAATTTTAAGAGTCATTGCCAACCTGCCCTTTCCCGCTTCCTCCCAACCTCAAAAATTTGAGTAGATATTAGCCAGGTAAATGGGGGAGAGGAGAGCAGTCACAGAGGGAGCTTACTAAACCCGCAGTGCTATAATAAGTGGTGGAGTTGGAATTTGAACCATATGACAGTTCCTTGTCCTCAGGCCATAGAGCCCAGTTGGCTGTGGAGACCTGCTGCCTTCCCGGAAGTGTGGCCATGCAGAGGCTCTGCATGCCCAGAAGCCCAGGCGTGGGCCACTAGCTCAGCAGAGGATTGACTGTACCCCTTCCCCACAGAAAAAATACGCCTGGGCTCACCTTGGTAACCTGAGCAGCAGTGAGTTCTCTGGTGAGTTCTTCTAGGGCCTCCCTGTTCCGGCCACAGAGCACCAGCTTAGTCCCCGCAGCATAGAAGACTCTAGCACATTCTAAAGGAAGAAGAGAAAACCTTGATGAGGAGGAAATTCAAGGCCTTTCTTCCCCAACGCAGTTCAAACATACCCAATGTTTCAGAATATGTATTGATTTCTCCATGCACTCAACATGTATGCATTAGGCACGGCTGTGGACCAGGCATGGAGCTAGGAACTCAGTTTAATGATAAAGGAGCTGTTGTTGCCTTAAGGGAGCTCCTGTGCAGTGGTGTGACTGACATCCACAGGGCAGGAAAGCAGGGGCTGGTGGACAGGTTTGTGAGGCACTATGCTCAGAACTTTCAGTAGTTGTCTCCGCCTCTGAACAACCCTGGGAGCATGATCCCCATTTTCACAGCTGAGGAAGCTTACTTAGCAAGGTCAAGCAATGTGCCCATGACGAGGCAGCGCCAGCTATCGTGCTGCCGTGTCTGCTGAGGCCTGCGATCCAGCACAACCCAGGCTGTCTCCCAAGCCGCTTGGATGCAATAGGCACATATCTACTGGGGCACAAAACACAGTTTTGTAGAAACATAGGGGACACAGGACTCTGTTGAGAAGGCGTGGTGAGGTCTGAGGGGCTGTTTCCCAGGGAGTGCTTGAGGGGCTAGGGCAGAGTGGAGCATCTCTAGCCTTGCTAGGCTGCAAAATGACACACCTGGAGAATAAGGAGTTGAAGCATGCCGCATGCCTACAGTAAAGGATGATAAAGGGCTCCCTCCTGCTGTGGGGTGTGAGGGGACTGGAGAAGACCAGGCTCCACGGAGCCCACTACTACATTCCCGATGACAATGATGTCATCAGGTGAGACCATGGCGAGGGAGAGTCCAGAACTATCTGGGCACCTCTATTAGTCAATATCCTGTTGGTGGCAGGAAGAGAGACTCAACTCACATTGCAGCAAAGCAAAAGGATTTATCAGGAGGATTTTGGGCTAGTTCAAGAATTTAAAAAAGGCTGAATGGCCAACACTTGGGAAGGACAGGGCTTCTGGTAGCAGGAGCCAGGGTCTCCCGATGCTGGCTGCCCTTCCGCTACATCATTCCCCAAGCCTGGCTTCTCCTCCATAAGATGGAACACGGCTGCAGGCAGCTTTGGGCTCACAGCAACACTTCCTGTGTTCAACTCCAACTTTGGACAGTTTCTGGTCTTGGGTAAGTTATAACCTCTTTGTTTCTCATTCCTCTTATTAAGATGTAGATAGAAACTGGAATTGAATGAGTTAAAGTAGATAACAGTAGTTGATACAAAGCATTATAAAAAAAGTACTACAGTGTTATTTTGTATTTCTAAGCTGCCTTTTTAAAGTGTTCTAAAAACTGACTGTTGGTGAACATTGAAATGCAAGGGTTTAAAGCAGCACTGCCTGTCCTCACCCAAGGTGTGGTCCCTCAAGTGCCCGCGAGCACATCTGCACAGAGCCCCAGCCCCTAGCTGACCATTGATTGGGTCCCAGACTGAGACTTAGAGGCCAAGGCCATCAAGTGGTGTCCTGGTCTCCCCCGGCTCCTAGAAAGGGCAGGCCTGCCCTGGCAGCAACTCAGGGAGAGGTGAGGGGTAGAGGCTGTCACTTCCTCTCCGTGAAGAGAGGAGGCAGTAGGGTCTTGGCAAGGTGTACTGGTCTGACAGCCCTCCCCCCACAAAAATATCAAAATTCCTTAAAGCTAGAAGGGTTCAAAACACGAGAGAAGGAACTCCAACATCCCCCAGAAAAGTGTTTTGACATCTGGATTGTCTTATGCGGCAAAGCCCTCCCTTTTCACTCTACAGTGCCTCCGTTAGCTTCTCTTACAGCGTTTACGTTGCCATCCTCAGGCCAGCACCTCCGTGCACATCCCCAGATGGAGTTTTCTGGAAAGAAGTGCTAAGTGTACTAAATCAATACATTTTCAAGCGTGCTGTATCATCTTCTTTGAAGATCTGGTTGCTTTGTTCACTGGCTCATGGGACAAAGGGCACAAACCCAGACAGAGCTGCAGCCCCTGATCTGCCTGTCCCTCGGTGGTGAGGGGTATCGAGGCGGGGAAGGGGCAATGTCACAGGACAGCCTGCATCCTGCTGTCCTCACATGAGCAGCAAAGGCCTCTGGCGGGTGGTGGGGATGGGTGGTTTCTCTCAAACCAAGAAGCCAGCATTCCTGAGGTTATAACTACTCATCCAGTTTACTAAATCATTTCCAAAGATTCGGAATTTCTGGTCCTGTCAGCTTCTCACCCCATTCCTCCTGTCCTGACCAGCATAATGGACATTCTGTGAGGTGTCTTCAAAGCATGCAGACACGCAGAACCAAAGGTGAGGGGGAGGCAGGCTGGTGTATAAACAGCTTCTGGAAAATGGTCACCTACATTCTGCTCAAGCTTTGCTGCCTAGCAAAGGGAGGAAATGAAAGTTTGTTTAGGAGTGACACAAAATAAAACAGATTAGAAGGACTACATTTTTCATTTCCTGAAAAAGCTGATACAGGGAGGCAGGAGGGTCAGGGGAAAAGGAAGTGTCCTCAGGTGCCATTCATTGAGGGCTGCCAGGTGCCTCTCCAGTGCTGCCACACTCCTGGCTTGTACATGGGCTTAGGCTGGCTACAGTAAGCATCCAGAACATTCTGTTCCTTTAGTGAATGGTCCTACTGTTTTACAAGGACAAGCTCATGTAACTTAAATATACAAAACAGGAGACAAGATAGGAGAAATACAGAAAGCTATCGGAAGACTCCTCACATAACTCAAACTTCCTGAGTGGCTAACAGTGGGCAGAACCACCAAAGACAACGCACAGTATTCCTCCTCATGGGAGCGAAGGAGCAGCGGGCATGTGTACTTGAGACGGCTTGTTAACAATTCTTTCCTATTTTACCTGGCTGGCAGGGCGAGAGAAACATGGAGTCCTATCCCTAAGATGTTAAATGGGGCAGAACATAAGCAGAGTGGTTTGGAATTTGGGAAATGGCTTTATTATTTTTCAATTACATTTTCTATTCCTTTCATAGTCTTGGTGTCCGGAAGAGGAAATGTAGAATGATGAAGAGAAGTGTCCTTCTCAAATGTCCCTGTACCAGAGCACATGCAACTCCACACCTTTCCATTTCAGCCAACTCTCAAAGACTTTTAAACAAACGCTTTTCTCTGCGATTAAGAGAAGCAGCTGCTGACTACCCTATATATAGTATCTGAGTAAGGTCAGAGGACCAACTGTGGCAAAGCGCCTGAGGCAGCTGTCCCCATGCAGGTCTAATGACAGGCTCAGGGTTCACCCCCGGAGACCTCACCCAAACATCACAGTGGCATACAAATGAATACACACTTCCCAAAGCCTTCCCAGGCCGACTGCAAGCCACTTACCCTGCAGACAAGGTCCCACCTGCTCCTTTGTGTTCCTGCAACACCCAAGTGCTTAGCAGCCCCTGCACATCTGTGCTGCTCCCAGCTGTGGGCCTGTCTGCAATGCCCTCCCTGCTAGCCCACCCTTCCTTTTCCCTGGCTCTTTCCTCCTCAGGTGAGACCAGACTGACTTCTGATGTCAGAGAGACGTGGGTTTGAAGCTTGGCTTTGCACTTTCAAGCTAGAAGTCCTAGGGCAAGTCATACCTTCTCTGAATCTCAGCTGTAAGAATTCAATAACATAAAGCACAAGCCAGCACATATACATGTGCCTTCCCTTTACCAGGCCTGGTTGGGAACATCCATGACTGAAATGGCAATATACTGAGATAAGTCCTTGCCTCTCTCCATCAGACCGCAAACTCTTTTGAGGGACAGGACCCTGTCTTTCATCTGTTTGTCCCAGCACATGGGAGATGCGGCATCAGCGCTGGCTGTACTATCACCAACCAAAAGATGCAGCAATGGTGGGTTTACCACAATTCAGGGCACCTCTCGGCCCTCTTCCATGGAACCGAGTGCATGCGGATCCTATCCTGGTGTGGTGAGGGGTGTGTGCAGATGCTGACAGAGGGCAGGAGGTTCCCTGCCACATGCTGTCTGTACACTCGCTGGAGGACAGGAAGGCTTCCCTTCTTCTTCCCTTCTCGGCTCTATGGCTAGTCTAATAATTAAATTATCATAAGACAGATTAACAGGAGAAAAACGTTTAATTTTGTGCATACGGGAGCCCCCCAAAATAGGAAGCTCTAAAAAGTGACCGAATTAGGCAGCTTTTACACCTTTTAGAAGAAACAATACATTTGTGAAGATTTGACAAGACAATGGGGTTCGGGCATTGGGTAGTAAATTGATGAAGAAGTAACAAGATTTGTTTACACAGCCTTCTCGACCTTGAATTCCTCATCTCGATGATAAGGATGCTTTCTACCTCCTGGTAACAGGGAGGATACTTTCACACGGGAGATTTATTTCCAGTTCTTAGGAGGACAAAGGAAGGTCAGAATGTCCTTTTTACACTGGCTGTTTCTTAAGTAACTTTAATTAAAAATAATTAATATGCCAAAGTAGCATATTTTGGGGTGAAATATGTGGTTCCCCTTCAGTGCCAAAGTTAATATACATGTTTGGAAGGGAAATGATGGCAGTGCAACAAACTCATTTGTGTGTGTGTCGGGGGAGACAGGGATGGGACGGGGGTTACTGACTCCAGACCTGTGTCCCAGCATACAATTCCTGAGACCTAGAAGCTTAGCGTGTTCACCAAATTAGAGTGGAATGAAACTGGAGAACCTGGTTAGCTGAGGCATCACTTATTCTGTTTCCAGCCGTGCCAGAGCTGTGCCCAGAGTACAGCAGGAGGCATGGTCCGTTGAGGGGAAGGTGTGGAGAAGCTGACACCAAGGCCATAAGCCAAGGATGCTTACTGAATCCAGGAGAAGGCATGCTTTGTTTAGCCCTCACAGAGGTAACCAGTTGTCCATATTTGGAAACTGGGAGCCTTCACATAAAAATCCCCATTTGAACAACCAGCTGGAGCTGAGTATGCGGTATCCAGGTTACTGCGGTCTTCCCACACTGACACTGAAAGGCAGGAGCCATTCTTCATTGCACTTAAGCTTTTGCTTTTCCCAACCAGGCCAAGGACAGTGACATTCTCTTGTTCCCGAGTCACCCAGCCTGGTGGTCCCTGTGCAGCTGAATGGCTCATCCAGCCTGGCCCATGTCCCCAACCCCAACAGCACTGCTTCTAGGACCTACCTCGCCCCAGGCCTGAGGTGGCGCCTGTAATGACCACCACAGCGTTCCGGAGGTAGGCCCTCGTGCGCATGCGCTGCAGCAGCTTGAGGAGGCTGCAGATTCCCACGCAGCCAAACAGCAGGGGCAGGATGGCTGTGGAGGTGAGGAAGTCCATGATCCTCAGCTTCGGCAGACTCTTCCTGGAAGAACCCAAACCCAATAAGTGGCAAAACGCGAGAACTCAAGAAGCTTGCCAACCCTCTGCTTCCTAATCCGATACAGTCCCCAGATGTCTCGGTGCGGACCAGCTCTGAGACCAGCAAGTATCTTTGCAGGCCCTGTACATCATGCCAAATGTTTAGCATCACAGAACTCGTTTCCTCTCACTGACATGCACAGGCAGCAAAGCCACAGGCCTCACAATGCCTCTCAGAAGTGTGCAGTGACTCAAGACAAACTGAGAGTCATGGAGCTTAGGACTCAGCTACCTGATGAGTGTTACCTGTTACCTGCCAGTGACCTGGTGAGGCACTAGCATATCAGTACTCACCTGATTCTCCTTCAGGGATCTGTTTTGAGGAACTTAAGTCATACTCATTATCATTTTCAATTCCTGGGTATTTGTGAAACTAGAATTTTTTTTTTAAAGGAAAAAAGAAAACCTTATCAATCCGGCCGGCCAAGTGGCTCAGTTGGTTAAGAGCTCGCTCAAGAGTTTGAGCTCTGAGCAACAGCGGTTCGAGTCCGGCCCAAGCTGAGCAGCTGCTGAGCTGCCAACAGGTGGCAGGATGGCTCAGCTAAAAAAAACAAAACAAAACAAAAAAAACATATCAATCCTTATACTCCTCCCTGAGCAGATGGATGTTTCTGGGTGGAGCACCCCCTGGATGGTCTCCACCATGGCCCACAAATGTACCAGTGGCCACTCAAAGGGAATTCAGCACAATGGAGCGGCCCTTTGCCGAGCCTGGGTACTGACGCAGGCTGTTAGGCGGGCTGCCCTGTAGTGCACTGAAGCATGTTCTCACTTAACATTCATGGGTGAGCTGCAGACTGCCAGGTGAAACCAGGAAGCCCCGTGGGTGTTTATGCCAGTGTATAGTCAATTCTTAGGAAACGTATCCATTTCTTCCACAACTGCCTCTCATTTCTTTACTCCTCCAAACCTCCCCCATTCCTCATGACTCACCCAAGCTCCTATGCCCAAAGCAACAGCTAAGAGGGCAGGGAGACACAGGGTTAAATAAAGGTCAAGTGTGAGCCAGTGAGGAGCAACACCATGTCTGTCACTTTGAAATAAACAACCTATAAGGCCACTTGACAGGTGGGCCGGAATCTATTACACAAAGGCCCACACACAGTCCACCAGTAAGTCTCTTTGGGAAGGAAGAGGCTGGAAACCAAGGGCAGAGTTGTGAAGCAGCTTGAAGCTTCCAATTATTCATCAGATTGGGAGTAACTATGCAAAAACCCTCGCTCATCTACTGGTTCCATATCCACATCTCCATATATTTAAAAAAACATTTGTGCTTCCTTTCCCAAAACAGCATTCACTCTGGATGCCATGAATCCAGAGCCTGCTGTGTCCCAGCACAAAGCCACCTGCCTGCTGAGGTAACTGATGCTGAGGTTTAAGTTCAGGGAGAGCTGTCCTGATCAAAGCTAACCTGCTCCAACATAAAAGGGTTCTGCTCCAACTTGAACTGTCTAGCTTAGCATTTAGTTTAATTTTTTACCTACTTCTCCAAATACACCTAAATTCTTATTCACCATAAAAAAAAAAATCAACAGGGGCCGGCCGAGTGGCGCGATGGTTAAGAACTGGCTTGGGATGCCAGAGAACCCCGATTCAGATCCCACATATGAGGGCCAGTGACACTGCCCTCCACAGCTAAGATGCTGAACAACAGCTCAACCTGGAGCTGGGTGGTCGTGAGTTGCCAGCGACGGCGTAGGCTGCAGCCCCTGCTGCAGTGGGTTGCCATGGGCTACCGTGTGTAGCCAGCAGCCAGCGTGAGCGGCCAGCAGCCGCAATGAACGGCCGTCCAGAAGCCGGCGACTGATCTGCCTTGCCTGGGAAGAGCGCAATGATGGTGCCAACTTGGGCCAGTGAAGCAACGTCCTCCACAACTAGACTGAAGAACAAAACAACAGCAACTTGTCTGTTCCCATCCCCCCAATCCCCAATCTGTTCCCATCCCCCCAACTCCCCAATAAAATCTTAAAAAAAAAAATCAACATTCTTGGACAAACATCTGTAAAAATGACTGTTTCCCATCAAGCTCCACTCAATCGGCTTCTAAAAAAAACCCAGCTACTGTCTGCTAAGTGGATACAATTTCCTCTCTCCCTACGTTGTGCCAAGGCTACGTGTGGACAAACTGGTAACTAAAGTAGTTTCTAAACCATCAAGCTCCTTATGCAGGTACTAATCGTCTGGCCGCAACAGGAAGCTCAGGCCAGGTGTTCTGGCCTACCAGCCAGGCTGAATCCCAGGGGAGACGCTAGGTCCCAAGGATCCTTTGTCTGGCATCTGGGAAGTCCTCCCAAATTTGGTTTCCAGCAGGTACCGGCACCTCTACCATTCCATGGGTCTGTGGGTGCTGCCTGGGGGGGTCTTCACAGGGCCCCCAGCCCCTGAAGAACAGTGGGGTATGCAAGTGTTCCCTAGGGGCAGGGGGAGTAACTACTAGGGGAACAGGAATGATTACCAGTTTGTTGGTGTAGCTACACCAGAAAATTATACATTTAACAGAAAACACAGGTAGGCCCCAAGGTATTGTAATTATAGCTCAGAACTTTTATGTAATAAACTTGGGTTGGGATAGGGGGGATTTCAACCCAGCAGGACGGCTGTTTAGGAAGAGCCCCTGCGCCCGCCCCCAGCAACTGCATTCCCAGATCCTTATACCAGGCAGGTCCCAAAGTGGACCACCCTGCCCAGCTCAGAATCACCTGGGTACCAGTCACTGCCTAGGATGCCCAGAGTGGTAGATGCTCCTCACAGAAAGCATAGCAGGTCTCAGTCTCTAGGTGGGGGCCTAGAACTCCATTGGATCAGCTGGGTGGAAACTCTGCACATTCCTCCAGACCAGGGGCCCGTGGAGCCTGCCTGTTTCAGACCATAACCTGGGGCTGAGCCAGAACCCCGCCAAAGGCTGGCGGGGGAGTGGTGAGGCGGGGAGGTCAAGCACCAATACTCAGCCTATTGCCTCCCAAGACTCAGAGCTTTCAGAAATGACCTAGAAAATACAAACTAAGAACAGTGAGGCAACAACATACAGAGATTACAAGGATGGACCCTCGGGGCCAGTCTGACTGGGTTCACATCCTGGTTCAGCCACTTACCAGCCTGGGTGAGGGACCTCACCACTTTGGGCTTCAGTATCCTCATCTGTAAAAAGGGTGCGTGAGTCCCCACCTCGCAAGTTTGTTATCAGGTCAGATGAATTAGTACATGGAAATGTGTGCACGGTCCCTGGTGCAGGGTATGTGCTCAGTAAATGTGGCTGCCATCAGCACCCTCACAATCCAACCGAGGCCCAGGAATTGGTTTCACAGCGATCAGATTTCCAATGTTGTCTGAAAGAGTCCCTAGTTTACGAAAACTGTATTCTTCCAAATAAAGGGAACTCATTCAACATATAGTTCACTGTAGTTTTAAATTTTTATATATTCATACTTTTAATTTAATTAAGTTAACAAATAGTGGTGGTGGAGAGACCCAACTTTGTTAGAAGTCAGGATCCTATAGCCCAAGGTTGGTATCAGAAAACATGGCTACTGTAATAGTCACGGAGTCCACCACAGTGAGTAGAGAGCAGACAAATGCCGAAATGTCTCTTCTACCATTTGTTCCCACCCAGGGAGGAGCAGGATGAAAATAAACCTCCCCAGCAAGGCTCCCCACTGGAAGACAATTAAAGCTCCTAACAAAATGCATTTTCATGCACCTATTTAAAACCCAAGCCAACAATTTAGGACGTGAAGGAAAGAGAGAAAACTACACACCGTCTTGTACACTTCTGGGATTCCTTGAGCACCTGACACAACACTGCATGCCAGTCTTGATCTCCTGGCCCTGGGAACCACTTTGCCCAAGGCAAACATGGCACCAAGTTAATGAGTTCCATCCTCAGCCCACTGGCCAGCTTTCTGTGGGGAGAGTGCACATCTGTATTCAGTCCGGCAAGTCTTTATAGAACCAGAATGCAAAGGAAATTAGAAATCAGCACCGACTTTCCCTGGCTAACTTAGGATGACGATGGTGGGAAAAGACACTCCAGAGCAAACCATGTATTTAAGAATCAGGTTCAATTTCAGGGTAACTTTCCTGACCAAGTGAAGCAGGTCATATTGGCAATCCCAATTCTTTCTGGGAGTTTTTCAAATTCTTAAAGACCTCCCAACTTTTATTCTACTCTGAAGTGTTTGTGGCCACACCGATGGGCACGTTGGCTGCTGGGCTTCCCTGGACTCTCAGAGACAGCTGTGCCAACTCGTTCCTGTCTCACCCCTGGAAGCCAGGACAGCCAGGAGAGCTACACAGAGATAACTCAGCCCCACTGCCTTGCTATGGTGACTGGGGGCCTTCAAGCAAAAGGGACAGCTCCAAAGTACAAGAAAGGAACTGTGTCCTGGATGGCCAGTCCAGATTAGAAGATAAATCTCCTATGTAAAGCAAGTTCAAAGGAGGCCTGTTTTCTCTGAAAATGACATATAAGGACTTTAATATGTTTATAAATTTTGTATTTATAGCAAAATGCTTTGTAAACAGCTAGTTTCCAATATAATTGGGAAGTTAAGATGTTAAGATGGATGGTATAAAAATGGAGTTGAGAGGGGCCGGCCGAGTGGCTCAGTTGGTTAAGAGCTTGCTCAAGAGTGCGGGCTCTGAGCAACATGGTCGGCAGTTTGATTCCCATGTGAGCCAGTGAGCTGCGCCTGAGCTGAGCTGCCGCTGGGCTGCAGACAGGTGGCAGGATGGCTCAGCTGGTGAGAGCACATGCTCCTAACAACGGGGTTGCCTGTGAGATGGTAGGCTACGCCCGCCTGCAAAAATAAAACCTAAAAACAAAAAGTAAATAAATAAAAATAAAAATGGAGTGGGAGAAAAAAGTCTTGTTTGTGATTTGCAGCATTTGGAGATCAGCTTGTAGAAAGAAGGGACAGAGTTGGCCGAGCACCACTGTGAGCCACAGTGGGAAGCAGGACAGGTACATGGAGAAAGAGAAAGAGAAAGAGAGAGAGAGAGATCAGAAAGCAGAAGGGGAGATGGCCCGAGAGAGAGAGAGAGAGAGAGAGAGAGAGAGAGAAAGAGAAAGAGAGAGAGATCAGAAAGGCAGAAGAGGAGATGGCCCCCTTGAATAGGAACCGCAGGTCACACATGGCCCAAGACAGCACTGGCATTCACAGCTGACAGGGAAACAACCTGAAACATGACACTATGGGCCACATCAACTGTGAGGCACTTAGAGGGTTCAGGCGTTCACAGACTAGGCCCATCTGCTTATGTTGTCATGTGTCAAGACCACGGGGCTATAGATCTAAGTTAAAAGAGTGTAAAGGAAAAAGTCTCTTCACAGATGAGTGTTACTGGAGCCTGAGGCAGCCAGGAATTTCATGTTCTTACTGTGACTTCCGCATTCAGCTGCTCCCTTGTTTTCCATGGAGAGGTTCTTTCAAAGGGCTTTCAGAGCCTCAAACTAAAAATCAGACTATCACCAACAAATCAACAAAGCAGAAATATCTCCTTTTATGCCATTTATTCCATTCCTTATCCTTTAGCCAAAATTCTACATTACATTTCACGGGTAGAATCTTTTCCTAAGATTCCTTTCTTTTCTCAAGCAATTATAAAAAATAAAAAATAGAAAAATGAACCATCAATAAAAACAGGTTGTTGGAATCTACTTAGAAACCACACAGAAATCAAACCACTGACAGCCACTTCTGAAAATCAAAGGAAGGGACCTGAAAACCCTCCAAAGTTAAAAACTAATAATGATTTCAGGTCCATAAGAAGGATTAGTTCTGAAATAATTTGTGATGTTCCACACAAGAAAATCAGGCTAAAGGGCAGAGAGGGTTTTCCAGCTGAAGGCAGGGCGCTGAAATCAGGCGGCTGGGAGTGGCTAAGTGTCACCAAGAACAGTTAGGATTCCACCCACACACCTACACCCACTCTTATATTTCATAACTGACAGGCAGCTTGAAACAGCTGGTCTATCAAAGGTGAAATAAGCTATGGGTCATGCTTATGACCCATATCTGAAAATAAGTATCTATTTGCAGAAAGTAAAAGCAGAGTAAAACTGCTTTTTTGGTATGAAGCACATGAGAAATAGTTGCTAAGGCTGTCTCTGACTGGGGAAAAATAACAATATCCTACCTCACGTGGCAGCTGCTGTGCCAGTGGTGGGTCCTGGTGCCAGTGTCTTTCTTCTCTGGTCTTTTGACCCGACTAGAGGCCAGAGGAAAACTTCATGTCAGCAGGCCCTCCCTGGAATGCTGGAACAAGCCACAGATGAGTGGTCACAGATGAGGTTGTATTCTGGGATGCCAGCCTTAGGGCCCCCAGTTTAAAGGAATGCAGATTGGCATTAGTAAAAATAAAACCAAAAGGAAGCCTGGAGAATATTTCAGACCAGGCTCCTGAATGTCCAGTCCTGGGAAGAGCAACCACACTGAAGCAAGTGCTGCTCTCTAGTAAGACACTGAGCACACACTACACAGCAGCCCCAGCCAAGGAGGGTGGGAAGGGAGCGGCCAAGCACAGCTCTGGATGCCGCAATGCAGGCCACCGACACTGAACAGGGCACTGGAGGCTAACCTTTATCACAAGTCAACATCTTGGTTCAGTTTTTCAAAACAGCACTTATAACAGGAAACCAGAAGTCTCCTCCAAAACAAAACAAAACAAAACCCAGCACTTATGATAGCTACCTAGACATCTTGACTCAAAAGTTTGAGTTTCTAATGTGTTTTATAAAATGAGTTTAGTATACTGGAAGATGCCAGAGTGTTATCACCCTCTTCCCTGGATAACACACAGGAGGCTCAGGCCCCTGCACAGAAACCAGACAAGGTGCTCACTGTGGGGCTGAAGCAGAAAAAGCACCAACCTGGCACTGGGGAGCTGTGTTCAAGACCACCCTGTCGTGCACTTGCTAGGTGACGTGGGCAAATTTACTCTCTATCTGCAACTAAGTGTCCTAAATTTCAAAATGGGAATGACTATTCCAATGAGAAAGCACATGGGAAAGACCTTTGTAAACACTAGCGTCCTAACAAATGTGCTGCTGACTCAGAAACTGGCTGAAAAAAAACAATTCCCAGGAAGGATTTCAGAAACTAACTGAGCAATGGATGCCAACCTGGCAGCTTGAAGGGCTATTCACGTTTAAGTATGTTTGGTAAAAAGATCAAATTTACGGCTTTACATCCACACCTCAAATACTGTGGATCATTTCAGGTCCTGGTCACTTGCTCATCCATTCGACTATTTATCGAGAGCCATCTAGTAGCAGATACTGCATTGGGATTGGGGTGTAAAGTGATGAACGAAGTAGACATGGTTTCTGACCTCACAGAGCTTACCATCTAGGTGGGGAAACTAACAATAAACAAAGAAACACAAAAGTTAAATTATTATAACTGTGATAATAAAAGAAACAACTGTAAAACCACAGAATGATTTTAGACAGGCCTCACCTGAAGTTTTAATTCAAAATCCAAACAATTCAAACCATGGTGCCAGCCACACAACACACAACCAGGCCTCGGGGCAGCTGCTAGTTTGTGACTCCTGAATCTTAGATTATTACCTTAAAAAATTACATATAATATCAACAAGACAGACAAGGTGCCAATGTAAATATGAAACCAGAAATCCAGTGTGTTTAAATGAAACTGCTAGAGCTCAAACCAGAGTATCTAATAAGAGCTGTGCACAGGTATCAGTTCCAGAAACTTAAGAATAAAACACAGTAACTCACAATATTTATATTCCAGATAAGGCACAATTACCCATGTGGACACAAGAAGGGCCACATATTAAACCTGACAAGGTCAGGAGACTGAAAATAACCATGCAAGATGGCGTGAACATAAAAAATTTCATAACTAAGTGGCCCATGGCAGGAAGTCACATTTTTAGCTAAAATCTTCCTTCATAAAGTTAATCTGTGCCTTTACATGGGCCTATTATCTTTTTGCACCTAAGATGACATTCTTGGAATGTCAGTAATCCCTTTTTCCGGACTAGAGCAGGAAAGTACAGAATCCCTCATTATTATTCTTGTCCCTTGATTAATAACTCTATATGAACTATTAACTGTCCTGTACCCCCCTATGTGAAAGTACCTGTCTCTCCAATTTACTTTTATCCAATCCCCGAGATTTCCCCACTTTGCTTTCTCCCACCCCCTTAATCTACCACCAATGGATTTCATGTAACCTTCCTCCTTTGAGTCGATGTTTAAAATAAACTGCAAACCACCATTTCGCGGAGCATTTTCTCAATCCGTTGAGATTTTGCTTCCTGGCAATTGTCGTCAATTTGGCTCAAATAAACTCTTACAAATTTTCTCTTAGGCTGGATGTTTTTCGTCGACACCCACTACATCTGCTATAGTATAGATTCATTTCATTTGGCAAATAGTTACTGAAGGACCCATGTGTCAATTGTTCCAGGTTCTGAGGTGCAGTGAACAAAACAGGAAATAAATCAGTTTCCTCACGGAGATGGCATACTAATGAGAGAGACAAACGGTAAAAAATATAAACAAAGAAATTGTACATTTGAAGGATTCTAGGGAGATGGTGGAGTAGGAAGCACTAGGAATCTGTCTCTCCACCTAGACAACAATTACACTGGCACAATCTATCTGACACAACTATTTTGGAACTCTGAGGCTAATGAAGACATGCAAATTCCAGAAGGCTTGGATGGTAAATTGTGGTTAATTTCAATCAATCTCAACCCTAAGCACAGTAGCAGCTACAAATGGCTCACACCAGTGCCGAACAGCTGTGCACCAGAACCTAGAGCAACTTGCACACAGAAGATTGAGTCTAATCAAAAACCTCCCAACAAACAAAAGTCCAGGACTGGGCAGTGTCACTGGTAAATTCTACCAAGATAGTTAAAGAAGATTTAAGACCAAGCTTTCTCAAACTCTTCCAAAAAATAGAAAAGGAGGGAATGCTTCCAAACTCATTTTACAAGGCCAGCATTACTCTAACACCAAAACCAGACATGGACGCCACAAGAAAAGAAAATTACAGGTTAATATCTCTGATGAACACAGATGCAAAAATCCTGAACAAAATATTAGCAAACCAAATTCATCAAAATGTTTTAAGAATCATACACCATGATTGAGTGGCATTTATCTTAGGGATGTAAGGATGATTCAACATCTGCAAATCAATCAATTTGATATAACATCTTAAGAAAATGTAAAATAAAAATCACATCATCATCTTAATAGATACAGAGAGAACATTTGACCTAATTTAACATCCATTTATGACAAAAACTCTCAACATATTGGAAATGGAGGGAACATACATTAACATAATAAAGGCCATTCATGACAAGCCCACAGCTAACATCATACTTAATGGTGAAAAGCTGAAACCTTTTCCTCTAAGATCAGGAACAAGACAAGAATGCCCACTCTCACCACTTTCACTCAATATAGTATTGGAAGTCTTAGCCAGAGCAATTAGGCAAGAAAAAGAAATAAAAGGCATCCAAATTGGAAAGAAAGAAGTAAAACTGTCACTATTTGCAGATGATATGATATTATATATAGAAGACCCTAAAGATTCCACCAAAAAACTGTTAGAATAAGTGAATTCAGTAAAGCTGCAGGACACAAAATCAGTAAATCTGTTGCATTTCTATATACTAATAATGAACTATCAGAAAGAGAAATAATAAAACAATCCCATTTACGATTGCATCAAAAAAGAATAAAATACCTAAGAATAAATTGAGTCAAGGTGAAAGACCTATACACAAATTTAAAGAATTAATATTGATAAAATGTCCATACTATCTACCTGAAGCAATCTACAGATTCAATGCCAACCCTATCAAAATGCCAAGGCATTTTTCACTGAAATACAACTAATAATCCTAAAATATGTATGGAACCAAAAAAGACCCTGAATAGCCAAAGCAATCTTGGGAAAGAGGAACAAAGCTGGAGGCATCACACTCCCTGATTTCAAACTATATTACAAAGCTACAGTTATCAAAACAGTGTGGCATTGGCATAAAACAGGCATATAGACCAATGGAACATAATAGAGAGCCCAGAAATAATTCCACACATATATGGTCAATTAATTTACAACAAAGGAGCTAAGACTATTTAATCAGGAAAGGACAGTCTCTTCAATGGAATTGGGAAAACTGCAAAAAAATGAAACTGGATCACTACCTTACACCATATACAAAAATTAACCCAAATGGATTGAAGATGTGAATATAAGACCTAAAACCTTAAAACTCCTAAAAGGAAAACACAGGCAGCAAGCTATTGGACATAGGTCAAGGTGATGATTTTTTTGGATCTGACACCAAAAGAAAAAGCAATAAAAGCAAAAGTAAACAAGTGGGACTACATCAAACTAAAAGCTTTTGCACAGCAAAGGAAATCATCAACAAAATGAAAGGCAATATACTGAATGGGAGAAAATATTTGCAAATCTTATATCTGATAAAGGGTTAGTATTCAAAATATATAAGGAACTTATACAATTCATTAGCAAAATACCTCAAACAATCAGATTTTAAAATGGGCACGGGGGTTGGAGAGGGGGGCGGCTCGTTAGCTTAGGTGGTTAGGGTGCAGGCTCATAACACCAAGGTTGCCGGTTCAATTCCCACATGGGCCAAGAAGCTGCACCCTCCACAACTAGATTGAAAACAATGACTTAACTTGGAGCTCAGCTGCGCCCTCCACAACTGGATTGAGGCGACTATTTGACTTGGAGCTGATGGGTCCTGGAAAAACATATTGTTCCCCAATAAAATTTCAAAAAAAAAAAAAAAGGACATGGGAACAAAATAGGCTTTTTTCCAAAGACACAGAGATGGCCAACAGGTACATGAAAAGATTCTCAACATCAGTCATTATCAGGGAAATGCAATTTAAAACGACAATGAGGTATCATACCTGTTAAATGGCTGTTAGAATAGCTATTACTTGCCAGGACAGCCATTATCAAAAAGACAAGAAATAACAAGTGTTGGACAGGATGTGAAGAAAAGAGAATACTTGTGCACTGTTGGTGGGAATCTAAATCGATGCAGCCAGTATGGAAATCAGTATAAAGGCTCCTCAAAACATTAAAAGTAGAACCAGAATATGACCCAGAAATTCCACTTCTGGGTAGCTATCCAAAGAAAATGAAAACAGTAACTCAAAAAGATATCTGCACCCCCATGTTCATGGCTGCGTTATTTACAACAGCCAAGATATAAAAGCAACCTA